GAGAATGATACTGGTATGTTAAAAACTTCCTAAGGCAAGAAACCATTTGACAAAATTGATGGGAACCATTTGATTTCCATTGTATTTTTCTCATTCTGACTTCTCTGGTTGGTGACTTTGTTTTGCCTCTTGTTTTGAATGTCTGAAATGATTCTTCATGTTTTTTTAATGTGAACGTCTTTTGTCTATCATGCTACCCACTACTAATACTGTGTCCCAGATCAAACTTCATTTCCAAGGGAAACTCTACTTAGTGACCAAATGAAAAAATGAGAACAGCCCAGGAAATGATAACTTCTATTTCTGTTGACATTCTATGGGCTTTCCCTGAACCACTGTTTCCATAGAGTTCATTTACTTCTGTTTTGGACTGCCATCTTTTTTTTTTCTGATTCATATGCCATTTCTGAAATTCACAAACCCTCTAGCAATCCTTTTTATAGGAAATTTTCAGAATCCATGACAATTTAGACCAAATAATTTTGCATTATGCACCTCAGTTCACTTTCTGTTACTAAAGGATATTTTTTATTACTCTGAACCACTATCTAATTCAACCTCGTTTTACCGAAAGGCCATTTAGACAACATGGTACTATTCCTCAACAAGACAACTAACTAGATCACCTTGTTGTCATTAAGAGTACCTCTTTCTATGTTCTTCTGTCTTCCTAATATCCCCTTTGAATTAGTATAACTTATTACTCTGTGTGGCCTGCTCTGATCTCCCTCAAGTGAAGGGTTTTATAAATCTACCTAGAGTTAAACCGCAGATTATCCTCCTGAGTAGGAGATTACATTTGGTTTTACTCATCTTACCTTATTTTTCTTCTACCTTCATTTCTGAACCTTTAGTTTGCATTGAACAGTTTTATTCCTTACAATTCTTCTGAAGTCCAAATAATTTATATACATATATTATGTAGATGTGTGCATGGTATATGTGTATTTATGTATGCCATTGTTGGAGAATTAAGGCCATTGAAGACACTCTAATATTTTAATATTTGACATATTATTTTTGCTTATTCATTACTCATGGATAATCCTATGTTACCATACCTTGCCTTTGTTGTCATGTATGCTTCAACTGTGGAGAGAGAAAGTACTGAAAAATTCACTTACTGGAAATTAGTAGCTATTTCATTCCTTTGTTCATACTTTAAATTCAGATATTGCATAATTTAATAGCATTTACATATAAATTACCTCATCTTGACTGTACAAAAACCCTGTGTAGTGGGCAGAGCTAATATTATTTTCCCTTTTTTAGAGACAAAGAAACTAAGGTATAAAGAATTTAAGTCAATTGCCTAGCTAGTAAGAAACTGGTTAAGAGTTGAACCCTAGTTATTTTATTACTGTTTGGTTGTTTTTCTAGTATACCAGCCTATTAAGATTAACTAGATATTTGTTAGTTGTTATAATGAAGTAATTAGTATGCTTGGTAATATAAATTAAAGTTTTATAAATTTGTAAATAAGAATTTGAATTAATATATTTTATTATGCATGGCCATGGGAATAGAAAAATGCTTAAATGTCAATTTTTTAAAGGTAGATTTTTTTAACCATGATTTTACTGTTTTTCTTTATATTTCTAATATATAATATAATTATACTAGGCTATAGAGTCAAAGAATGCAGAAGGAATCTTTGATGCCAGTCTGCATTTGAAAGCTCAAGTTGATCAACTTACTGGAAGGAATGAAGAATTAAGACAGGAGCTCAGGGAATCTCGGAAAGAGGCTATAAATTACTCGCAGCAGTTGGCAAAAGCAAATTTAAAGGTGAGAATTTTATTAAATGAAAGAAAATGCTAAGCATAAAAACATAGATTTAAGAGGAAACTTCCAAATTTTTTTTTTCTTTTATTTCAGCATATTATGGGGGTACAGATGTTTAGGTTACG